ATTATAAAATAATTTTACATAATAATTGTGTTTTATAAATATACTTTTTTTTTATTGAATGAGATAACTAATTATATATATATACTTTAATGAAAAATGCCAAATAACTTGTAATAAAAATGAAATTTAACAAACAATTTCTACTTTATTTTTTTAAAGTTCTTGGTTTTAACCTTAGCTAATAGAAAGAAAAAAAAAACCCATGTAAACTTATAAGTTATTCAAAATTTAAACTTGTGATGCACCACTACCCCCAATACGAATGTTCCCATCATCAATACTATTATTATTAATGTTGTTATTACTATCATCTTTACAAACAATAGTGACAACAATAATAATAATTGTGATAGTTATAGGTGGAAGAGAACCATGTCTTTCCCCTAATTATTTTTTCCATAATAAGTATATTTATATGCATTTTAAATATTTAACCACTCATTAATATATTTTTAACATATGTTAATATAAAATATATTTTTTTGTTGTCCTAAGTGAGTTTGAATAAATTTATCTACACCTTCAATGACAATATGTAGTTAGCTATATAATTAGGAAGTGATAATCAGCAAACAACTTAAAAAAAACCAATACATGCAAATTATTTACATTATGTAAAACTTGTTCTATTGTATTTAGAAAAATTTGATCTATTATCATTATTTTATTTATATGCACTATATTTATTCTTGGACTAAGATGGATTTCTAAAAAAAAAACTTATTTAATTTCATTGACTTTGATAAACTTTAAAAACTCATTTAAATTTGGATCTAATTACTTATTACTCGTTAAGAATAAAGAATGATAAGGAATGGTATTTAAAAAAGATATTATAGTAATTATTTTTAATTTTATTTTAAATCTTTTGGTATCACTTATTATTTTGGTTTTATTTGAGAAAATTTTTTCACAAGTATTTATTGGAGAGAAAAATAAGGAAAATAAGGAATAAGTTTATCCATAAATTAAAATTAGATTATGTAGAAACTATTGTATTAACTTCTTCAAAATCGTATTTGTAACTTGTACTTACCTTAATTTTACCTTTTGAAAAAATTATCTTAATTCTTCTTCTTAAATTACTTAGAAAGAAGTTTACCCAAATAGACCATTTAACTCCCTCAAAATGATTAATCAAACTCAATCATTAGTAATGGTGACAGTAACAATAATGATGACAACAATAATAAATTAAACTACAACAATAATAATATGTGTAATTTTATTTATATTATTTTAATCTAAGCTGTCTGTTTTAATTTAAGGTTGAAATTGAATAATCTCATTCTCACTCAACACCTAAAAATCTATGAAAACTATTCTCATATGATTCATATTATATATATATATATATATAAATGATAACGTGACTAACAGACTGTCACATCATCACCCAACAGTGCATATCATGTCAACACACATGTCCACCTCATTCTCCACGTAATTTGCCACGTCAGACTTGAAATTTTAAAAAAAAATTGTTTCACACACATGTCCTCTAGGTCAGTGACATGCTCGACCGCGACGATGACGAGCTAAAGATCCTCTACTTCTTGGAGAAGTTGAAGCATGATGCAGCGCAATCATCATGATGAACGGGAACCACGAGATCATGAACGTGGAGGGAAATTTTCACTTCGCGACAAAAGGCGGCGTGGAGGAGTTTAGGGTTTGGTGGGAGTGGTTTCGAATTGGAAACAAAATGAAAAGCCTCTGCCATGGTTTGGAAAAGCCCATTGACCCAACGGAAGGTCTTCCCTCCTCCTTCCGCGACGTGAGAGAAGAGTTTCACGACGACTTTCGGGCCAACATTTGCGCTTCAGCTTCTCCAAGAAGTAGAGAATCTTTAGCTCGTCGTCGTCGCGATCGAGCATGTCGCCGACCTGAACGTGGCAGAGCCACCTACGTAGTGATCGGTGGCATCGATGAGGCCGGCGAGGCGCAGGGCCTGCTTGGACTTGTCGAGGTCGCCGTGGAGGTCCCCGATGGCCACCAGGCGGGGTGGCGAGGGGAAGCGGGGCGCCCATTCACTAACATATGCGCAAAACAATTTTTTTTTTAAACCAATCAACCCAAAAACACCATTCAAGTTTACTCCTTCATAACATATTCAATTCATAATCTTCACCAATTCGAACATAAAATTGATAAATTCACACGGGGAGTCAGAGGTCTCGGCCTACATTTATCTCCATGAGATCACGATATTCGTGCCACGCGTCAGAGGTCTCGACCTAGGTCTCTCTCACGGGGAGTTAGAGGTCTCGGCCTACATTTATCTCCATGAGATCGCGATATTCGCTCCACGCGTCAGAGGTCTCGACCTAGATCTATCTCACATGATGTCAGAGGTCTCGGCCTACAGTTATCTCACCATGAGATCGCGATATTCGCTCCACGCGTCAGAGGTCTCGACCTAGATCTATCTCACATGATGTTAGAGGTCTCGGCCTACAGTTATCTCACCATGAGATCGCGATATTCGCTCCACGCGTCAGAGGTCTCGGCCTAAGATCTCTCTCACGAGATGTCAGAGGTCTCGGCCTACATTTATCTCACCATGAGGTCGCGATATTCGCTCCATGCGTCAGAGGGATCGGCCTAGATCCCTCTCACGTGGTCAAAGGTCTCAGCCTACATTTCAATCACCCGAGGCCCTGACCCAGGCTACGCCATGCCGAGACTTGTCAAAACTGCCCCTGCCTCTCCGACGACAACCAGGATGTCACACAGTTCTTACCGTCTTCGTCTTTCACATCCTCGACGCTGTGGGGGTTGTATACCGTATGGGGGCCGACCTGGCCGGATACCCGACCCCTCGAATACCCTGGCCGAACACCCGACCCCTCGAACACTTGGGTCGAACACCCGACCCCTCAAACACTTGGGCCGAATACCCTCAAACACTTGGCCGAATACCCTAACATACCGACCACCCGAGAATCAAACAGAGTACGTCGGTATGCTCGGCCAAAACCATGTGTCGGCTCCAAGATGATTTCAAAGAGCTTAATTAACGTAATGCATTGGATTAGCCCCCTAATTTCCCGGGGCCCAGTCCCTAATCACGGCCCAATAAGAAGTCCTATAAATAGAGTCCCAACGAGGTACGTAACCAACTTTCAACTACCGCATTTATTACGCCGAGCACTTACTTGAGCGTTGGAGTGTCTTTGCAGGCACCCCCCCTTTTCACATCGGACTACCTGGATAGGAACGAGAAGACCGAGACTCAAGATCCGACCCGCTACAAGGATAATTGAAGTGTGTTTCCTAACACAGGAACATTATGTAACTGAGGTGTTGATTTAATTATATGATTAATAATATGATAATATTAATTAATTGTTAGTTGTTAATTAGAGATTAAAAATTTAAAGAATTTTAAGAGTTAAATTATCTTTAAAATAATTGAGTCAAAGTTAAGTTGGTACACTTAAAGAAAAGTGAATATATAAGATTTTTTTAAAAATGTTAGTCTCATAATTAAGTTTATGTTTTTAGAAATCTTAGAGAGAAGTTGGTGAGAATTTCTCTAAAGTTTGAGTGATATTTTCCACCTTTCTAAACTAAAACCCATCTCACTTTTCCCTTTTGTAACTAAATCACTTGACTAGGAAGAGATTCGAAGCTTGAGGAGCTAAAGATCTAAAGTCAAAACCATGCAAAAAGTTCTTCCTTCTCTTCTCCTTGGATGAGCTAAGAGTAAGAGAAGCTTTGTGATTTGAATCATTTGATGTTAAATTCTTGTTGTTATGGTATGAATTTATCAATTTTATGTTCGAATTGGTGAAGATTATGAATTGAATATGTTATGAAGGAGTAAACTTGAATGGTGTTTTTGGGTTGATTGGTTTAAAAAAAAAATTGTTTTGCGCATATGTTAGTGAATGGGCGCCCCGCTCAGTGCATATCATGTCAACACACATGTCCACCTCATTCTCCACGTAATTTGCCACGTCAGACTTGAAATTTTAAAAAAAAATTGTTTCACACACATGTCCTCTAGGTCAGTGACATGCTCGACCGCGACGATGACGAGCTAAAGATCCTCTACTTAAATTAATTTCATTGAAAATACTACATTTACTTGTATTCGTTTTAATATTTTTTTTTAAAAACAATCAGCTCACTATTCTAATATTATGTTCATCTCTAATTATAAAATCTTTTCAACTAAATTACATCCTTTTAGAAAAATTATTTAATTTATTTAATAATATTAAATCTGTCAATAATTTAATTATTTTTTCAAAATTTCTCTTAATATCTCTTAAATTAACTTTTTCTCTTTTTATTTAATCACTTTTCACCTAATTAATTAAATATAATTATATCTTGTGTATGCAGCCGCGTTAAATTTTGTAACCAATTATCCTACCCTTTAAAGTATCTCTAAAATAAGAGATTAATCACTACTATCGGCGATAGATACTTCAAGGACGAAACAAAAAAATATTATACTAACGTATGCTCTAATTTTTTTATATAAATATTTATGTTAAAATAATTGTTATAAACTATAACAATAGTAACTTTAAATTTTATTTAGAAAAATAAACTTAAAGAAAAATAAGACATTATAATTTAAGAAATGTGTGTGATATACTTTTTAAATCTCTTACTAATATTTTATTAATTATCAATTAAACTTTTAAATTTAATAATTATAAATTAAGAGAGAAGTTTGCTAAATAAGATACATAATTTACAAAAGAAAATTACAATTTGAATAAATTTAGAGGTAAAAAAAATAAAAATTACGTGGGATAGATGATGATATATATATCAAGAGTTCCATTCATGAAGCCACATCATTGTGCTAAGTGTCACCTTGCATGTTGCATGAGCTTTGTCGTAAAGACACGTACGTGTTACAATCTCGTGCTTTAATCACCTAAAATCCAATTACCTCCTTCACCGCCCCTTCCCTAGTTTTCCCTAAACAACCTTTCTTTCGTTGGTGGTAAAAAGATCAATTAATTCAAGCCAAAATATGAATACTAGAAAAAGTTTAAACTTGTGTCATGTATACAAAATAGAATGAAACTAAAACCCTTTTGATTTTGGCTTCATAGCAAAGGAGTGGTTTATAAAAGTAACAAGTAATAAATAATAATAATAATAATAATAATAATAATAATAATAATAATTTGAAGGCGAAGGCTCATTTGCGGTAGGGACGGTCGTGATTCAATCCCCAACCGCGTATCCCAAGAAGCAACTCAGCCGAAGCGATCAAGAACTCGATAGCCTGCTGCGGCGACAGCAGCCCCACCACGCTCCGCAACGTTCTAAGCCGTAGATTGTCCGCCCTCTTTATAATGCGTACGAGGCGTCCGATCTTCTCGCTGAAGGCGGCGCCTGGGCCCATGATCTCGCTCACACTGTCCTGCCACTCCGATAGCTCCTCCGTTAATGCATTCTCTTCCTTCACCTTCCAAAACAAAATCACGAGTAATTGTGATATATTTGCATGAGAAAAAAAGTGAAAGGAGTAAGGTGAGAAGGTGATACGGTGAGGCATTGGAGGTCGCTGAAGCGCCGGAGCTGGGCGGGAGAGAGGTCGCCGAGGTCGCCGGTGCGGTGGCCTTGGAGGATGTCGATGATGTGGGACTCGAAGAGGAGGGAGGACTCGGTGTAGACGAGGTGGAAGGCGGTGGTGGGGCGCCAGCCGGAGATCCAGTGGAGGGACCGTTCCAGGGCGGTGGCCCAGGGCGAGAGGAAGACGGCCAGAGGGTCCTTCTCCGCCGCCAGGGACTTCTCTGCGTAGTACTTGTGGTGGTGGCGCATCACCTTCTCCATGGCCTCCACCCTCCGCGAACCCCTCAGCTCCTGCACCACCCTCTGCAGCTCCGAGAACCATGTCTCGTAGAACTCAGCGAACCCCACACAAGAAGAAGAAGAAGAAGAAGAAGAAGAAGAAGAAGGGTTCATGGTTGTTATTGCTCTCTCTCTCTCTCTCTGTCTTTGTTAATATATGGTTAAAGAGAGAGGACAGGTTGGTGGCGCCTGCACACACACTGCGCACCCTACGTGTGTCACTCTCCGCTCAAACTCTTAAGAGCGTGGGTCGCTTATAATCAACTTCTTGTGCCACGTCATACTACATCAGTATTTACGTCATACTACATCAGTATTTTTTTTCATAAGTACCCAAACCCTAAACCCTAAACTTCTACAAGTAATTTTGTTAAAATTTAAGTAACTCATAAACACTAAAAAAAACTGATGTGACATAATGTGATACAAAAAATTACTTATAAGCAACTTCCACCACAGATACTCTTACTTCTTCTTATTCTCATGATTAACTTACACTAATACCGTTTTCTCACCTCTAATCATATTCACCTCCAACACACCATAAAAATCTTGTACATTTTCAGTTTAGTCTGGCCAACAACAAAAAAAAAAACTTTAATATTTCCACATACGAAGAATATAACAAACTTCTATAAAAATACATAATTTCAAAGTAAAAGAAATCTAAAATATCTATAAGAACTGTTATTTAAATTTTTTATAAGCTTTTATACTATATTTTTTCTTTAATTTTTATATAACTTTTGAAATTCATTTATTATATATACATATATATTTATATTTTTAAGGGGTCAATTTTTTTTTATGGGGTAAGTTGTTCTTTTTATCAAATATATATAAATAAATGCATAAAAATTATCATACATGCAAATTCACCCATATCTTAAAGGATAATGTTATCACGCGTTTTAAATTATTATTCCTTCCATTTTTTTTTATAGTCGTTTTGTCAGAATTTGTTATTTTTTTTCATTGTCATTTTACTAAAATCAATGACTTATTAATTTTTTTTCCTTCATTTTTACCCTTAATAATTAATATATGTTTATTGAACAATGTGTGTATTTATTTTTAATGTCTACCTATTTTTTCTCCAACTACCCATATAAAGTTAATGTGCATTTATAAGAGCAATATGTTCCTAACAAAATACTATAAAAAAACAAAAAAAGGAACAACTATTTACAAGACTCTTTAACTATAACCATTAATTCATGAACAAGTATAATTAAATACAGTATACAGTTCACGTGTAATCAATGCATTAATAATTAATGAAGTAGATTGCAGTTCAACAGTCTCAAAAATGCAACAAAAAAAAATAATAAAGGGTAAAATAGGAAAGTAAATAATAAATATTTTTGAAAACTAAAATATCAATGATTTCCTTAAATCCCGTGCAAAACCTTAAACGACTATAAAAAAAACGGAGAGAGTATCGTTTATAATTAGATTGGTGGTTTATGATTGATATTGTGGATAAATGACAACGTGCAACAAGAAATTATTACTGATCAGATTCGTGGTGTCATTATTATTTTTGTTCTTATCTTGAAAAGTCACTTCAGATTAAAGGAGAAAAATGCTTATAAACTACATATATATTGGCTTCAACTTCTAGGTTATGTGTAATTTTTTGACATGCCAAAATAAGCCCTTAGTGGGGGCTAAAGAACAAAAGTGACATAAACTCTCATTTTAGTGTTTATATTCGCCAATTTATTGATGTCACTACATTCAAGGTATTATCCCATTTGAACCATTATATATATATATATATATATATAACTAAAATCCATTCTTATCTCATTCTATTTACAGAAACTCTAACTCAACTTCATCTTTTATATATATATATATATATATATTTTGTTCTTTAAAAAATGTTTCAATATGAGTTAAGAGGAAAGTATTTATAAAATACATTTAGTCTCAACTTTTAAGTAATGTGAGACTTTTCACATATTAGACAGATGTCATTTCTAGTGACTTTTATTGTGCAAAGGAAAAAAAAGACTCTATATTAGATATATTATTATAAAAAGAAATAACACAAGAGATAATATAGATTTATCAAAAGAATTTAGACAAATTTCTAATTTGATTTTTAAAAAGAGCAAAGAGAGTAATAATTTCAATTGTCTTTTTAGCACAACACTACTAGAAAAATTAAAATTAGAGAGGGAACAAAATCCGTCGCTAAATATGTTAAAATCCGTCACAAAATAAATTAGTGACGGAATTTGTGACGAAACTGATTTCGTCACAAAAAGTTGGCTTCACAAAATATTTAGTGACGGATAATTTTAGTCCGTCACAATCAGTGACGGAATTAAGGCATCACAAATTCTGTCACTAATTTATAATATTAAATGTTCATAAATTAATAAATTTTCGTCACAAATTGTGACGAAATTAGTGAGGGAATTTTTTCCATCTCAAATTTGTGACGGATTTATTTCATCACAAATTTGTGACGGAATTTGTGACAGATTAACTCTGTCACAAATTTGTGACGAAATTTGTGCCTCTTATTTTGTGACGAAATTTGTGCCTCTTATTAAGGCTACACGTTGATAGGGATGTTGGCCTCTCAAGAGGGGTCTATTTTACGACATTTCACTTTTTTTTATCGTATTTTATCCTTGCTTGCACAATTTCTGGGAGACTTCCCAGAAGTTACGTACCTCGTTGGGACTCTATTTATAGGACTTCTTATTGGGCCGTGATTAGGGACTGGGCCCCGGGAAATTAGGGGGCTAATCCAATGCATTACGTTAATTAAGCTCTTTGAAATCATCTTGGAGCCGGCACATGGTTTTGGCCGAGCATACCGACGTACTCCGTTCGATTCTCGGGTGATCGGTATGTTAGGGTATTCGGCCAAGTGTTTGAGGGTAT